GAGTGGAGATCAGGGGAAGGTTAGGAAACTGACGCATTGGGAGCAGATAGACGATGGCATTCAATTCACTTCCACCAGAAAGTTCTTAACAGTGGTTCCCATTATATTGTAAGTATAAGTCGTGTCTCCAATCCAATGATCAATATATGAATGCATTCAATCAATGATTATGTGATCGACCGGTGCGGTGGACATGCATTTCACGTGAGACTGGAGTGGCATTTAAACTAAACCATTGATAATGACTTAATAATGAATTTAAATGCCATCCCCTGTGCGGTGTATGTCCGCCCACTTTGCGTCATTCGACTCATTAGTGTATTATTTGATTGTTTTTTAATGATTTGTCAAACGATTAGGTTTTTTCTGACGAGTTTTTACACGAAATACGATTCCTTCCACTTTGTGGTCAACTTTGTAGCCCTTCTGTTGGTTTTGTTACCAAAATTACCACAATTTCATTGCGTCAGACTCTTCGGCATCAATAAGTACTGAACCCAACTGTCTGTCCCGACACATCGAGTGCTGTACTTCCGTAATGATATGAATTTGAATTAATTTTTTAATAACTTTTGTTAGTTATATGAGTAATAATCAAATAATGACAACAAAGTGAAAATATAATTATTATTGTATTTACTGTTAATAACTTTGAAATATATGAATTGAATAAAATTAATTTTTATTTTAAAATAATTATAGCATTTGTTTTTTAGTTGCATTATTAGGTAAATTTATTAATGAATATTGTGAGTCATATGTTGTTTACATTTAATGGACTTTTCTAGAAATTAATTGTGACAATTATTTTTACAAAATATCATTTATAAAGTAGCGTCATTTTGCATAACTACCGGTATAAGTTAAGTCATTCATACTGTACCTGTCTGTAACATTTAGATTAAAATTCTATACTTACCGGTAATAATTAAAAATATTTTAATATATACGTTATGTGACAAAATTAATAAATGATGAATAAGCAAGCTCATCACATTTCACATACTGTAGTAATTGTCTACCTGTACTGTGCAATTATACTGTATTATGTAATCTAAAGTTGATTATAATTGTACATTCATAATAATCACAAACTATACTGGTACTTCTAACTGTTGCTGTTTGTTGTGGACTAAAATTTATTGTTTATTATTTACAGAGTTATTACTTACTGTTATAAACGGCATTATATAACAGTTAATGCGATAGTTATTAATAAACAAATGTGTAATAAATGTATATTTAATGAAAAACACTGTAATTGTAGGGAAGAGTTGAGCGAAAAACTTGTTTCGGCAGACAATTGACGTCATGTATTGATTGCGTTACGAAATGCAATGTTTTTTGTGTGCAAAAGTCAATGCCATAGAAACCAATGCTTTGTAAATACAGGCATTCAGTGAAACACAATCTCTAATCACTGTTTAGTATTGTTTTGATTATTGTTGTGATCATTGAATCCTTTGGACACCAATTGGTTTAATCGTCACCACAAGTACTTACCAACCATTGGCACACTGTTTGACGGCATTTTCAATAATAGGATTCATTTGGGATTCAAGTGAAAGGTTTGTGTGTTTTTTGTTGTCATTTTCAGCGAAAATCTATATTTAAAGCAATTTTCAGACAAAATGTCATTCAATGCAATGTATAGCGATATATTGGTTATCTATTCAATGCTATTATGGCATTGAATTTGCATTCATTACGAGTGAACACAAGTTTATTCATTTGTTTATATATTTTACGCTAACTTCCCATTGCCTTAACATTTGATATGAATATGATTACCAAATATAATGTTATATTACTGTCAAACAGTTGATTGCATTGCATTTCATTTGATATATTTGTTTAGATTTGATTCAATCAAATAAACTGAGATTACATTACATTTGGATGAGTGGTCGCACGGTTAGCTCACTATAACACATACCTCACAGATGTCTCAATACCAACAACAACAGCCATACCCGCCCTACGGACAGCCGGGTTACGCACAGCCAGGCTATACGCCCCAGTTTGGTGGCTATCCGGGTGAGTTTGTCTCACATTGCTATTTACTATAATTATTATCTATTTTCTCAATTAATATCTCATTTTCAATGCAATTAAATGTTTGTACAGCCGGTGCCCAACCGCCACCGCCTGGCTTTGCAATGCCCGGCCAACAGCCGCCCAAATACGGCGACCCATACGTGGGCTACAGCAGTGGTGGGGGTGCGGGCGGATCGCATAACGTGAACATCGGGACCCCCAATGACACGGATGTTAACAATTGGGCCGGTTTTACAGACAAGAATATCCGGCGAATGTTTGTCCAAAAAGTCTATTCAATACTTAGTCTTCAGCTGTTCGTCACATTCGGCATAACAGCCATCGTTGTCCTCACGTATGATATCATCGACTCATGTCGTTGTTGTCATCATTTTACTCATTGTATGTGATTTGCAATCCCAGGCCACCCATCAAGCTCTATGTCCGACAGAATATGTGGATATATATCCTCTCATAGTATGTGTTCATTGACACCATTTGTGATTATTTTCATATAATTGTCTTTAAATTTGTATCCAAATCGTTATAGTATTGTGTTTTTCACGCTTTACATAACACTCATGTGTTGCAAAGGGCCCCGACGTAACTATCCCACTAACTTCATACTACTGTCCCTTTTTGTGAGTATCATTACAATGCCATTGTGTTTGTTATTAATCCATACCATCATTGGATTGACAGACGGTTGCCCTGAGCTTTATGGTGGCGATGATCTGCTCTTTCCATGACTTGACAAGTGTTTTGATCGCCGCCGGCATCACCGCTCTCTGCTGTACCGCAGTCTCTGTGCTCTCCTTCTGGACTAAAGTCAGTGTTTTTAGACACAATTTGTTTGATAATAATATCTAACCTTTTGATGACTTACTGTCCGACTGTTCAGTTTGACTTCACTCGGTTCGGGTGGGCGCTGGGCATCGCATCCCTCGGACTCTTTATTATGGGAATCTGTATGATCTTCATTAAGGTGAAGATCCTGTACATCGTGTACGCAGGTCTCGGAACCGTCATCTTTATGCTCGTATGTCTTGTTTGCCATCATTTTGTCTCACATTTTATTTACAATTCAATTAATGGTTTACGTGTTGTATGAATGGTATAGTTCTTGGCTTATGACACGCAACTCATTACCGGCGGTAAGAAGTATGAGATCAGTCCCGAGGAGTACATATTGGCCTCTATTATGCTGTACGTCGACATCGTCTACATATTCCTCTTTGTCCTACAACTGGTCAGCGCTGGAAGGGATTAATCATAAGACATACTGTATCTGGTGTTCAAAAGCGGTTGTTTTGCACTAACTTTTAAATTACTTTTTTGCGATAATAATCGGAATTATAACTACCGGTAATAGTTTTCAAAACTAATTTAAACAACAAAATATACTTTTTAACGGTTTATAATACTATAAAATTAATAAATTTAGTTTTATGATATTTACCTGTTATTTGCTGTGTACCGTAATATACTGTTGCATATCAGTCTAATTTATTTAATCCAATTGGGAGGGTATTAAAGCTATGTCTCCCTAATTATAACGATTTTAAATCCAATTTCATTCATTTAAATAACATTGAAATATAATCTGAAGTTTAATGTTTAAACAGAGCAATTAAGTGACATTTTATTCAATACACATTTCAATAAAATTACAATTTAATGCTTATATTATTGATTATATTTATATATCCGTGATTAGTGAGTCTATGAAACAAAATATATAAGTTCATTAAAAATTTGTAAGCAACGCTTTATTGTCAGTGAAGTGCACTAATATAAATATGTGACAATAATTTACTTTATATTTTTGTAATATACAGTACATTAACAACAAGAACAAAATGATTGGCAGATAATATTAATTTAATTGACATTGCTATTTTATATATCGATTGAGTTGCGAATAAATATATGTATTTTGAAAACTATATTATAAAATGATTAAATAAACACAAAATTGTTGATGTAATTCATGAATTTCACTGAACTTCCGGCAAATATCGACCAAACGATTGGTACATAGATTTGTGGCAGAACTGGACGGCATATACGGGAGGTCTGAGCAGATGTGAGGGGTTCGACAGAATCGAGTTCTCGTCGATTGCCTCCAGAATATCCATGTGTTTCTCGGCGGTCGAGGGCCGGGGAGGTGTGCACAGCCTTTGCCGGTGGTATCGCTCATCAATGGTGGGAATATCTTCACTGGGGGTCACCATTATTACTTTGGTGTCACTCCCACTGTCACTGTGTTGACCATAATTTGAGTCACAATTTTGCTGAGATTTCATGTAAACGATGAATAATAGCGATGCGATCAATGCGGTGATGGATATCATACTAATGGCCACTAAGACTATGTCCGGACCGTTGAGTATCACTATATTTGGCGGAATGTCTTCGCTTTGATACTCCCTTTCCGTTTCGTTTGACATTTGTTTTAAAGTTAAAACTTTATAATTTTTAAGAATAGTTACACATTAATTGTGATCACATATCCTATAATAATGACTGAAACCCAATTATTATTAAAATGAGTGACAAATAAAAGTCCGAAATCTGTGTTTCAAATATTCAAGGTTTGGGTGGTTTTTAAGTAATCGATTAATAATGAACTCTAAAATATGATACATTTCTAAATCAATATACTATTTTAATTCTGGCTAATCATTTAATATTTAATTAATAAGAATTTTGTTTGCATATTTGACGTCAATATTATTTGTGACAAAAGTTTTTATTGATTTTAATTGGTATTAATATCAGATAAATTCGTGACTGGATTACAAAATTCACAAACAATAACCACTATATTAAACTAAATTTTTAACTAACTTCTATTGTAATAATTTATTAATTTACTATAATTATAACTATTAATATTTAATCAAATAATTGGAAATTTATTTAATATTAAAACAAAATACAAATAACAAACAAAAAACATAATTTAAACATAAAAATAGTGCAAATAATTTAGTTGACAATTTATAACAATATTATCACAATTTGTGCCCAGAATATAACGTTAATCTCAATAATTATAATTTCAATCTCTTTTCATTGACAAAAACTAAAATACAATAAAACAACTGAATTACTGTTTAGCTATAATTAAAATTTAGGGAAATTCGGTTCATTAGGTTCGGGAGGTTCGGCAATATGTGAGGGCTCGCTATCATAATTATGATTAGGATGTCTGTCGTAATCATCCGACTCCTCATTTCTAATGGGGACTGAATGGAAGGGCCCGTACTGTCCGCTCTGGGCTAAGGCCAGGAAGTGTTGCACCTGAGACTGTGCCTCCTGGGGATCCATTTCCCGGTTCATAGTCATAGTCACTTCACTCATCTCCATAACGTTGTTCGGGTTCTTTGGGTCCCTATAGGTGTAGGACGTCTTCGTCCCCCACGGCTTCCCCGCGTTATTCTGAGCGCCGATCTGTTCCTTCTTGAAGTCAGCCCTCGGGTCCTGCAATACACCACACGAACGGGTATTCAATTAAATGCCTTTTTCAGCAACAAATGATCGATTTGTGATGTATTTTATGTATTAATACCGTATATACTGTATATATATAATTAATAAAATAGTATATATTTCTAAATCCATAAGCAACTCATGTCTAACAAACTATTTGAATGACTGATTTACTGATTTACTACTATAACTGTACCACAGTATACACTGTATATTATATTTGTAAATTTACAATTATATTTGTATACTATACAGTAACTGAATGTATGGTAATAGTTTGAGTACCTGTTTTGGGTGCGGATATCCATTGGGAGCATTGAAATTAAAGTCTTCGTCCGCACTCTGATTGGGTGCCGACTCAAAGAAACTCTGGTCGTCCATCTCCTGATCATAATTGGGTTCCTCCTGGTGTTGAAATCCGGGGGCAAAATGAGTGGGTCGTGAGGGGTGCGGTGCCTTTGGTGGGGGCGGTGGTAGTGGTCGGCCATGGATTCGGTCACTACTCGACACTTCCGGCACATCGAAGTTGAACACAAATGAACTAAAGTCGGGAACCCCTGGGAAGTGGCGTCTCAGTTGTTCCTGTATTTCTTGTGGTGTCGGTGGGTGTCTGTGTGGGTCAGGTGCTGGTGCTGGTGCTGACGCGGGTGCTGGTTGTGTACCCGACCTATGCTCGACATTTGGTTGTTTGGACACAATTTGCTGGTTATTCTTGTTATCATTATTGTTATCCTTTTGTTGGAAAGTCGAGAACTTGTAGTCGACATGTCTTTCCTTCTCGAAGTGTTTCATATTTTTGTTGTCATTATTTTCTCTGACAGTTTTGGGGCTATTTTGGTGATCAGTGGCCGGTTTGGGCGGTGAGACCTTCGTAGGGCTGGTGTTTGTATTACTCGGACGAAACACTTCAATCAGTGATGAGTTGTTGTCATCTTTTTTGATTCTTTCACCAAATTTTGGTGAAGATTTCACGACCACCAGGGTTAGCGATAATGTTAGTAGGAATTTGTAAATCTATTTAATATAATTATATTCTTATTACTAAAATTTATATTTGTAATTGTACAATAACATTTTTACTGTATAACTATTTTATAAATGTTACCAAGACAAATAATATTAGTACATTATTTTAAAATTATACTTTGGAAAAGTTTTGAAAAATAAATATTAAATATAAGTTTAAATGTTGTAAATTATATTTAAAGCTTAAAGTTTAAGGAATTTGTAATTATCAAAGTGAATTAAACTTTGAAAATAAAGTTATAAATAGTTGTGAAACAAAGCCCACAATACATACCCTCATAATCAAAGGTAATGTTGAATCACATCAAGAATTTCGAAACATTCAACAAAAACAATAATTGAATATAAAATGCTTTCAATGAAAGCAAGCGTTTTATTAAATGAGATCTGAGAAAACGATATAACACTACACTATTGTTATGGTGAGGACTGGAGACCTCATAAAAGCCTAAACACATTCACAAATCTCCTCCCTTTCGATATAAAGATCTTTAGGTTTGGCTGAAAAACTGTGTTTCGGTCGCAAACAGTCATAACATATCTGTTCGCCGATTGCCTTATGAACTAAACTATGGTTTTTTCACAGCGTTTGTCATCTAAACCACAAGTCCTTCGAGTCTGTCATAAGTTATTATTATTTCTTATTTATTTTTCGCTAAACTTTTGTTTAGTGACAGCAAAGAGAG